TCAGATTAACATCCCTTTCAAACATCCTGTTCTAGAAGCATTTCCACGTTCAACTTTCCAGGGAGATCACTGGGTGCATTGACTATCACCTTCTCATGAAAGAATGACTTCAGAGTTTATGTGAAAACCTTTGCCATCTCTTCTTCCTTACTAAAATGATTGACTTGGGCAGTAACCAAAGTTTCAACCAAAGAAGTTAGATACTCCATACAAGCTTTCAAAGTGGTTACCTCTTTGCAGAGTTCAAATATCTCTTGCTTAATATTTTTCCATCTTCACTTAGCACGAGTGTTGCACTGACGCGATAACTTGACTTCTGAATACAAAGAGCAGAGGATAAGACTCCAGGAAACTCTCCAAATCAAGACATAAATGAGAATGATGCATGCTATTCAATGCAAATGATTGTTTAAAAGTTTTAAAAGCAAGTTTTCAAAGAATTTTTGAACGTTATAAATGAATTGCAAACACAAATTAAAAGACACAATTGGGACAACTGAAAAAAATTCATTTCATTAATATTGGAAGGGTTACATCCGAAGTACAAAACTTCACTAATCCCACACAGAAGAAAGAGAAAGCTAAATCTTCAGGTCTAAATGAATTACATCCAAAGAAGATGCAACATCGTGTTGTAACATCTTGAGCTTGAATTTAGAATGCTAAAGGAAAATAAATCCTCTAGCACTCTTCTCTTCTACTTTGCTGATAATTGGGAAAATAAATCACCGATACAAAGAATTGAGGAACTGGATCAAAGGCATGGAGAAATCCATCTTAAAGACAGCTAAGAGAACTTGAAATCCCAAGGACTAGATACCAAGGATTCAGGCTTTCTCAATTATTTTGAATTAGGACTCTTGACACTGTACTTATGAGTACTCTTTCCAAAATCCATAATTACAAAACTTGTGATGTTTGCAAACTGAAGTCTTAGGTTCCTTGAAAATTTGGTTAAAGCAATGCTCATGGGTGCATGAATGCATGACGCAACAATCACACACAAGATCACAAACATGGGGGTTCATAGGTTCGACGTCACGAGCATGAAGTCAAAGATATTACCCACAAGGTAAGGGACTAATAGTTTATCATTTACTGAAAAAGGTTCTAATATGTTCCTAGAGTCTACATCCTTCCTTAGGATATTACCAATGTTCTGATTAACTCGGTAATTAGTAATATTCTCAAGAAAAACTTGTATGAGTGTAGTATCGCGTGACAACCATTTCCGGATTACTCTGTCATAGTTTCCACACTACACCTAAAAGGCCAAGATGGGTTACGAGTTCTACGGTTCTCAGCTTCAGTAGGCTCCTAGGTCGAAAGCAGCACGTCTTCCCGATTACTCGATAAATGACACTACAGTCAAAGGGGCCTCTATTGTTGGGATTACTCCCTCAAAGTTAACATGACTATACCGCCTGTCCTATCTTAAGTTCGCCCAAGTCCGGGTATAGGACTTATGAAAAATCACCAAGCACCCCTGAAAACCAGGAAAATCCAGACAAACATATATACAACACATAATATATAACAAATAATAACACATACACAAATAAATAAAGATAGGCTTAACCCACTTATAGATGGACCAACATTTGGTCATTTTTCCCCAGTGAATTCGCCTTTTTTTTCTTCTGTAGCAGTAGAAATGTTGAGACAAAGCCATTAGATTGACTTGACTCGCGCATATCAAATATAAATCACCACCGCACACTATTGTTTCCAGGGGAATGGGAAAGTAGAGAATAACCCAAATAGAGGGGGAGAGAATCTAGGTACGGGGGTTGGTTATGCAAAGGGAAGGTATTAGCACCCTAAACATCTATGGTACTCCGTAGGAACCTCTTCGAAAATTTGTGTATTTTGGCTATAAGTGTTGTATATAAAAATAGATGGAGGATTTCATACCCCAATTTTTGACCTAAGATCCCATCTCTGTTTGCATTTTTTTGTTATATACATCAAGGTCACGAAATATGGTCGGTTTCGAACGTTTAACCTTTGAGCATTGCCTGTGTATAGATTATCGAGTGTTGCGAACATTTTAACTTATGCATGACTAACTTCTAATCAAGCACGAAGTGTATGTGTTTGTTTATTTGATTTCATGTACATAAACAGGTCTGAATCAAGAGCATCAGACGTCACGCCTTAATTAGGGTTTTGAGCCTCTCAAGCCAGAAGTACAGTTAATCGTTGATTCTCGAAGACTAGTTCATCAAGGGAACTTTCAGAGAATTGTGTCTTTATTTCCATGCTATGTTCTTAAGCTTCTCCAAAATTCTTCTTAAGAAACAATCAAGGTTCTATGATCACTAGTTCACGCGTGTTTCACTTTGCCTTGAAATACCAGAAAAATCAAGCTATGCAAGTCAATTCCAAACGCTTCGACCAAAATCATCTGCAATTTTCTTTAAAGAGTTGAAGACAATTGTGTTTATAAAGCCATGAGAAGACTTCATGGGACGCCTATCATGATTTAAGAATTTCTGGATCTCTAAGTTCAGTTCACTGTGTCAATTTCTCAATGCGATAATATTTTGCTTCAAATCCCTCTTCTAGTGATTATTCGAAGCTTTTAAGCATGGTTCGATTTCTTTTATTTACATGACACGGGTTGAATTTTGTTAGAGTGGGATGATTAAATTCAAGATCAATTCGGAAGAATTTATTTGGGATATTTGGAATTTTCATCATGTGAGTTCAAGTGATAATTAAATAAAAGTTATCAAAAGATCTCATTCAAGAATAATCGTTCGTCGCATTAAACATTTATTTAAAGATTATTTTTGTGTGATTATTTTGATTGATTCACATATTGGCTATTTGAATTCACATGAAGTATTTATTTAAGAAGATATTTAAAAAGGAAACTTGATTCAAATAATCATTCATCACAAGATTAATTACATGATGGTTACAATTTTATCAATTCATGAATTTATTTGGATCTCTATACAAAATGCAAGATTGAAGTCTTAAGGCTTGCATTATTCTTTATTCATCATTCAACAATTCATCCAAGTATTATTCAATTCTTTTCCAATTCAAATGGAATATTTTGAATTTCATCAAGATGAATATAAGATTAAAAGTTTACAAAGATCCAAATATTTATAATTACAAGGGAATTGAGAATTATATTGAGGAATAAGTACCCATTTATGTTACAATTTATTTGGATTAATCATTACAAGATTACAAGGGATTACAAGTTTATACAAACTAGTATTTATAATGTCCTAATTATAGCCCAATATCATGTGGCTACCCATATTTTCCAGCCCTGTTGCAATGCAATAAAAGTCCAATTTTGTGGCATTTTGCTGTCCAAAAAAATGCAACAAAACAGTCCCAAAAATACTGTTGTAAAAAAACCTACAAAACAGCCCCAAAACTGTTATAAAAATGTAGCAAAACAGTCAAAAAAATGCAGCAAAGACAGCAAGCAAAACAGTCGAAAAATGCTGCCAAAACCTACTGAAAACTGCTATAAAATCAGCCAAATCTGCTGTAATCCAGTCTGCTGGCCTGCATCATAACAGCCACAAAATTGCACCAAAATGGCTAAATAAAATTGTGTGAAAAAAGAATTAAAACAGTAGGCTAAAACAATTCAAAAAACTTATCAGTTTTGCCTCCAAATCTCACTCCAATGTGCCTATAAAAAGACCTTATATGAAGAGGTAGAAAAAAAACCAGAAAACACAAAAAAAATTCAAAGACACACAAAACTCAGCAAGAAAAACACAGAAATTCAAGGAGAGAAAACTTACTATTTTGAAGCCCCATCGGAGAGGCTCCGATATGTATTTTTTTTCTTCCCCCCTATTTATTTCTGTATAACTTTCTCATTCACATACTTGAATCTTCTTTGCATCACTTCTATGCGATATGATCATTTGACTTATTACCTTGTTGTATTTTTATTTGCTGCAATATGTGGACATTTTAAGCCTGGTTAATAATAATAATAAACAAGAATTTTTTTTTGTTGAAAATATTGGAACAAAAGAAATTATAGAAACTATACATTATGTTTGTTCAACCGACTCTAAACTCATCACAACTCTCATATCTAATCTCTATTAAAAACTCCTCCTCAACCATTCAAAAAACCAACAAATATCCTATAAAATTTCTGTCAAAATCACACATACTCCCCACACTCCATCAACCTCTCACATTGTTTTCGTAATCCTCAAACATCTCTTGAGGGCAACTATAGTAGTACATCCTTCTAAAATTAACAATACTATGGACATTCTTATGTCTATCATAATCAAGACCAAATTTTGGCAGTCTATCCGCGCAAACATTTTCCTCCCTGTAGATCTTGCTCCATTTGACATTCATCGAGTTTCAAGCAACTCTCTAATACTGCTTATCGGCTTCTAATATTGACCCGGAGCCTCATCTTGAGAAGACAACATGCTATAAACCTCAGCATTATCCGTCTAAATCTCCCTTGTCCTTGGCCAGACAGATGCCAACCCAAATGCCCAAAGCTCAATAGCCGACACTCACCATAACCTTACCACCACAGACAACCTGCCAACATTCTTTAAAATCAACCTCTCCAACTTCAACTTTGCCTACCGCCGATGATACCCCCTAACACCCACATAGACTTTCCTCTCAACCTATTTCCGCTCTGTCCACCCTTCTCTCTCTTCACACATTCTCCCTCTTCATCTAACCTAACGCTGTTGCGGCTCATAATTCTCATCTTCATTGCTTCCACCATTATGGTTTCCATGCTCGTTCACGCCTTCCATAGCGTGCCGCTACGACTAAGACCAACAACATCCACCTGTAAAGAAAAACAGTAAAAGAGATACTGATTAACAGAAGATAATTCTCCGCCATACCTCCATTTCCATCTTTCAATTAAACGTCACCAATGGCGAATCATACGGGCCCAACAACATCAGAGAAATCAGAAAGCCTTGTTAAGATCTAGGAGTATGAAATCTGATCAATCACAATTATTCATGAGGAACGATTCCAAATCATGTCTCCTGTTCATCGGCAGTAAATCAGAGACCCATATGCGTACACGAATGAGGAACTTTCTTCGAAAACAAGGAAATCTCATTGCAGATCATATTGACGGAATATGGGTATCTGGTAGCGGCGTTCTTACGAGTCGCCCGAGAGCAAGATTAGGACTCATCGGCTATCTACTACTCATGCATATATGGCTAATGGGGACAATATTATAGAAAAAATGTGATTTATCCAATATAGAATGGTCTGCATCTACAAATTCCAATGTAGATATAATATCAATGTCCATTTGCTTCTAAATGAAGCCTACCCTGTGTTCTATTAGTTCTCTGCAATCATATTTTAGGGATTCAGAGATTTTAGTTTTCATATTCGGGCTCAGTTTCTTACATTGTATTATACCTATTTAAATATTAAGGGATGTGTTAGATAGAAAATAGGTAGATGACACTTTTTTCACTTGTTAGTATAACAATATATTTAATCTATTTCCTTTCATAAGACAGACCAGCTCGCGGCGCCTTTGCTTCACCCTTTAGGGTTTCACATTTTCCTTTGTTCAATGCCAACCGGGTCATCCCATTGGGCTGCTGGTCCAATATCCTCTATCCGTATTCCCTTATTTATCAATTTAATCATAGATATAATAAATAAGTAATCTAGTATAGTTGGAAAAGTATACAAATTATAACCTTAGGTGACTTGAGTTCAACCCCTGCTAGGGCGTTTTTCTTTTCTTTTGCTCTTTTAGTCTTTTCTTTCAATTCTATTAAATTTGATAATAAATATTATATTAGTTTACTATATATAATTATTCTTTTCATTATAAAATACAAAAAAACATGCTTTTTATTAAATTAATTTTTCACTTAATTTATCTTTTATTGAATTTTAGTTTATTTAAATACATGCTATTTAGTGTTTGTCTAATTTTTTATATTTATTTAATCATTTAACATATATTCTTATAAATTAATCTCTTATTGAATTTTGGTTATTATTTTTTGTCGTTCTAATTAACTTTATTCTTGATCGTTTAATCTTTGTATCTTCCGTCCGTCTCAATTCCAAGGGAAATGTTTCAACTTTGTTGACTACATGTCATCAAATACATCTTATCCGATCGCGTGAATCCTTTCATTCATTTTTGTTTTACTATTTTGTTAAACTTAATCTAATTTTCCTAAAAAATCAAAATTTAAATTCACACCCCTTTAAGTCAAAACTTTGGCACTAGGTCGTTGTATCTTTAAAATATCGTCCAAAACAAACCATTTTTAGCCAAACAAACCATTGTAATCAAACAAACAATTTTAACAAAAACAGATATTTCAAAAGGTTCATGCGGAGTACCACAAATGCATTGGATGCTAATACCTTCCCATTGCATAACGAACCCCTGAACTCTAGATCTCATTTAAAAAACGCATTGTATTTTCATTACTTTTAAGTACTATTTTACATTGCATATTTAAGTGTTTTATTTTTGCTCTTTTCCGTTTTCCCTTGGAAATAATAAAGCGCGGTGGTGACTCTTTCTTTTGGAATCGAGTTAATTAATAGCTCAATCTCTGATTTACCCTGCTACATTTTTTATCGCTACAGAATTGGCGACTCTGTTGGGGAAAGATTGACCTCTTGCTGGTCCATCCCTAAGTGGGTTAAGCCTAGTTTGTCTTACCTGTTTGTATTATTATTTGTTTGTTTGCTTATATGTATATATTGTGGTTATTTGGGTGTTGATGATATTTACAAAGGACAAGTCCTATACCCGGACTAAGTTACACTTAGGAATAGGACGGGCGTTACAGTCATGTTAACTTTGAGGGAGTAATCCTGAAGAAGGAGGCATGAAATCCCCCACTCAGTGGAAGCCCCTTTGACTGTAGTATTGTTTTACCGAGTAATCGGGAAGATGTTATTTCTCTCGATCTGGGATCCAGAGAAGAGTGAGAACCGTAGGACCTTTAACCCATCTTGGCCTCTTAGGTGTAGTGCAGAGACTATAACGGAGTAATCCGGAAGTAGTTGTCACGTGATGCTACACTCAGACGAGTTTCTCTTGAGAATATTACTAATGACCGAGTAATCGAGACATTGGTAATATCCGAAGGAGGATCATAGAATCTGGTAACCTTTACAACCTTGTTTTACAGGTGTGATTAAACCTCTAGTATGTACCTTGGGGGTGGGCTTTACCTTTGACTCCATGCTCGAAGCGTTGAACCTTTGAACCCCATGTTTGTGAACTGATGTGTAATTTTTGCATTGTCATTCATTCATGCATTCATAAGAAGTCTTTTAAACATGTTTTTCAAGGAACTTAAGAATGATTTTTGCAGACATCTCAGGTACTTTTACTATGGATTTTGGAAAAAGAAACACTCGGAGTTATAGTTTCAAGGAGCCTGAGATAGAAGAGTTGAAGAGTTTGATTCCAAAGATTGAGAACCTTACGGAGTTTTGAAAGAAGTATGGATCTATTATTACTCTTATGAAGTGCAAGATGAAGGAAGGTATCCTTACTACGTTGGTCCAGTTCTATGATCCGCTATATCGATGCTTCACTTTTCCTGATTACCAGTTAATGCCCACTTTGGAAGAGTATTCTTATATACTTGGTTTACCAATCACCGACTGTGTTCCTTTCTCTGGTTTATAAGGGGAAACCAAATCTCATGAGATAGCAACAATTACCCACTTGAGGAAGTCTGAGATAGAAGAGAATATGACTACTAAGGGAGGAATCCGAGGTCTACCTGCATAGTTTTTGTTGAAGAAAGCTCGTTACTTCGCTGAGATAAAGGATATTGTCGCCTTTGAAGCTGTCTTTGCCTTGCTTGCTTATGGGTTGTTCTTATTCCCTAACATCGATAAGTTTGTGGATATCAACGCCATTAGAATCTTCTTAATTGGAAATCCGGTCCCCACGCTGCTAGGAGATACCTTCTATTCCATCCATCTTCGGAATTCCTACCAAGGTGGGATGATTATCTATTGTGCACCATTGTTATACCAGTGGTATGTTTCTCATTTACCTAGGTCTGATGTTTTCTGGGATCTCAAGAAGGTGCCACGATGGGCGCCAAAAATTATGGCTCTTACTCATTCCGACATAGATTGGTACAATCAAGTTTATTTTGATGTGAAGATCATCGATAGTTGTGGTGTTTTTCCAAACGTGCCTCTTCTTGGTATGACGAGAGGAATTAATTACAATCTTGTTCTTGTGCGCCGCCAGTTTAGATACTCGATGAAGGACAAACCAAATAACATTCACCTGAGTGGTTTCTTTCTCCAAGAAGGAAAGGATCACAAAGCAGCTAAGGAGGAGATTGAAAGGGCTTGGCGCCATATCCATAGAAAGGGAAGGGACCTGTTAGGATAGAGAGGTGATGTTTCTTTGGAGCCTTATCTTCGATGGGTTCGTGCTAGGGCTTGTGTTCTCAAGATGCCTTATTATTCCGAGAAACCTTTATTCCCTATTGCTACATCGTCATATACTGCCATTCCTATTGAAAACATGAAAGAGTATCAGGAAAATCTGGCTAAATGGAGTCTGAAAGAGATGCTTGGAAGGAAAAGTATAGTATGTCCGAATACGAAAACAGGGTCCTGACTCAAAAGCTGATGTAGAAGGAGGTTATTCTATTTACTCAAGATGTTTGGTTTATTAATTGTGATGAGAAGCTTCGTCAAAAAGATGCATTACTTAAGAAATATGCTAAGGAAAAGAAGAGAAAGAAGGAAGATTTGGTAGGTGTTAGTCCCGTTCCTAATCCATGGAAGAAAGTTGTTGATCAGCTGGTAGCCGAGAAGACAGAGATGGAAGACTTCTATGAGAAGAAGATTAGGAAGCTCAAGTTACAAGTAGAATTTGGTCATTTGTCCTATGATGATTCTGAATGATATTAGTTCCTAGTTTTTATTGCTTTTGTCATTTTGTAAAACTCCTTAAAAGGGCTTTATGTTCCAAAGTTGTAATTTTCTGCTTTTATTAATGAAATGAGTTTTGTTGTTCCAAATTCCTTTACCATTGATGAGTTCCAAATTGTCAAGTTTTAAAGTTCCTTGAAAAAATATCAAAATAAAATAATTATTTGCATTGCATATCATGCATCATTCAACATTCAATCTTACATGTTTTCTAGAGTCTTATTCTTGCTTCTTTTTCCACTCCGATAGATTGTCAAGCTGTTTCACCAGTATAATACTCGAGCCAATCATCGAAAGAGAATGGAAGATCTAGAGCAAGAAAATCATAAGCTTCGCGAGGAAGTTACTACTCTTCGTACTGGAATGGAAAAATTGACCGCTTTAGTGGAAAGCTTGATGACTGCTCAGAATCAGCCATCGACTTCGGCCACTGAAGCTCAAGCTCAAACTACTATGATTTCCGAGATCGTCACTGCTCCAGCCTCTTTGGCTCAAGTCAACCCTCCACAACATCAAATGCTGAAAGGTTTTCCATGGGGTATGCCTTAGAATTTCACACCAGAAGGGTACGAGCCTGCTATGTAACCCATGATTCAACCTTTTGTGTCTTTTCCTCAACCTGAGATGACTACTGCGCAACCTGTGATCCAGCCTAAGGTATCTTTCCCTCAGCCTGTATTCACCACTGCCGCTCCTGTGGTTCACACTGTTCCATACACAAATGAACCCATTTATCATGCTGAACCTACTGAAAGTTTAGGCATCTTTGATAGGATGAAGGAGTTCCAAGACCAATTTCAAGAAATGCAGAAGGAAATTAGAGAACTTAAAGGGAAAGACTTGTTCAGGAAAAAAGCTCATGACTTGTGTTTGGTCCTAAACGTGAAAATTCTAGCTAAGTTCAAAGTGCCAGACTTTGAAAAATACAAAGGTGACTCATGTCCGCAAAGTCACTTGACCGTGTATGTGAGGAAGATGTCCACCTACTCTGATGATCACAAGCTATTAATTCATTACTTTCAAGATAGCTTAACTGGTGCCTGTGACACCCCAAATAATTCGATTATTAAATAATTAGAATTTTTAATTATTAATTTAATTGGAAATTTAATTATTGGTATTTTTGGATTATTGGAATTAATTTAATTAATTAAAGGAAAGAAGTATTGATGGTGTGAAGAGTGATTAAAGGGTGTGAGGGGTAAAATACTCTACTCTTACTAATTACTAATTTAATTATTTTATTGAAATAATAAAAGGAGTATTAAAAGGAAAAAGA